ATGACACAGCCTGACGGTTTTCAAATTGCTGGTCAGTCTGCCAAAGTTTGTAAACTGCAACGTTCAATCTACGGATTAAAACAAGCATCTCGGAGTTGGTACATACGTTTCGATGAAACCATTTCCAGTTTTGGTTTCGAGAAGAACTCTGATGAATCTTGTGTATACAAGAAGGTCAGTGGGAGTGTAATAGTATTCCTAATATTATATGTCGACGATATATTGTTAATGGGTAACGATATTCCCGCTCTCACTTCTGTAAAGACGTGGTTGAGCGAGAACTTCTCCATGAAAGACTTAGGGGATGCTAGTTATGTCCTTGGCATAAGAATCTACCGAGATAGATCAAGAAAGTTAATAGGTCTGAATCAAAGTACATATATAGATAAAATCCTTGATCGATTTAGCATGTCTAACTCAAAGAAAGGATCTTTACCTATGACACCTGGCACAGTTCTTTCCAAGAACCAGAGTCCTTCTACTCCTGAGCATAATGAACTCATGATGAAGGTTCCATACGCTTTTGCGATTGGATCCATCATGTACGCCATGATATGTACTAGACCTGATGTATCATTTGCTTTAAGCGTGACCAGCAGATACCAAGGATGTCCAAGAGAAGCACACTAGACAGTGGTCAAGAACATCCTAAAGTATCTTCGCAATACTAAGGATGCATTCCTGGTATACGGTGGTGAGGAAGAGCTAAAGGTGGTCAGTTACACTGATGCTAGCTTCCAAACCGACAGAGACGATTCAAAATCACAAGCAGGATATTTGTTTTGCCTGAATGGCGGAGCTTTTAGCTGGAAGAGCTTCAAGGAGGATACAACCATCGATTCGACTATAGAGGCTGAGTACATAGCTGCCGCCGAGGCAACTAAAGAAGCTGTTTGGATCAAGAAGTTCATTACTGAACTTGGAGTGGTTCCTAGTATTAATGACCCTATCTCGTTGTTTTGCGACAACACTGGGGTCATTGCGCAGGAAAAGGAACCGCGATCTCACCAGAAAACCAAACATATTGTACGACGCTATCACATCATACGAGAAATCGTAGATAGAGGAGATGTGATCATTTGCAAAGTAGATACTGACGACAACATAGCCGATCCCTTGACCAAGCCTTTAGAAAAGCTAAAGCATGAGGGTCACACTAGGTCCATGGGCATTCGACTGATGCCAGATTGGCCATAGTGCAAGTGGGAGATTGTTGGAGTTGTGCCCTGATGGCCAACTGTTTATCATTATTCTATCATGTATAGGCAGATATAATATGTTTACACATCTCATGCTAATGTAAACAAATATTACATTCCTAGATTTATATTTAAAAGATGTTTATCAGATAGTGTTTTTTCTGCTGATGAGACTAACATCTTGAAATAAATATTTATCTGAATGTCCATAGTCGAGTATTAACGAGAGTGGGATATCGTTAATGCATGTGAGACTAGTGTGTATTGGATGTTTGACTTAGTCTCATAGTCAATGACGGTGTGTTCGCATCCGCACATGGGCAGATATTATCTAGAGATAATAGGATGCCGGACTGACCCATCCTAAAGATGTTGCTTGAACTTTTAGTTCATCCTCTAAGCATGTTTAGTGCGACCACCGGTGTAACTATCCTTCGACTTGAAGTATTACGTTTTCTGCATATGTGAACCCGCATACTTTGATGCATCGTCCTAAGCCATATGAAATAAGGATGGTATACAGGCTTTGTTTTGGGTATGCCGCAGCGCGTATTCAGAAACGTCGATTACGTACATAGGATTTGTCACTACTCTTTTAAAAGTGATTAATGTCTTATGGGGCCCACTCATAAGTTATGATTGAGGAAATTGCATGGCCATGCTAAGATGTTTTTATGACGTCTGTTCCTATTAGTCAAACTTGATAAATCAGTGAATGACTTAATGGATACAAGCTGGATTTTTTTAATCCCTTGCATTAAGTTTAGACATTGAAACAAAGGGATACAGTTACACGAAGTTTGAGTCGTGGAAAGGTTTTGACGGTGCAAACGTCTTAACTTATAATTTGGGGGGCAATAATGTGTTGCTAGATACCGCTTATTGCTTATAGTATTGGTGCAGAGCTAATACTGTGGCCAGCTTTATAAGTGTCTATACGAGTCACACACTTTGGACAATTTAAGGAGTAGGATTAAACAATGGGATAATAAGTAATTTGTATATTTGTAAAAATAGTAAAGTAAAATATTTTGGAATATAATATTATATATATAAATATTCGGTTATATATATATCATATATATATGCCGATTAATATATATATATATATTGAATATTTTATTTTGGTTTGTCATTTTAATTATGAAAATAATTATCTTGACATAAACTATTTAAAGTATATTTGTATACTTGTTTAAAAATGATATGGGTATTTTTATTTGATTTAAAATTAATTTTATATTAATTTTTGGTGTCAAATAAAATACACTTTGAACATTTGAGTGGAGAAGAGTTTTGAAAATCCTTCTCACTTTCTCAATTTTTTTTTCCGGCCAAAGTGTAGATTTAGAGAATCAAACTATACATTGATTGCTTAATTAGTGGAGCTAATTATTTTTGTCATTTAGTTAATGACAAAGTCAAATTCACCATCCTTTTCTCCTTAAAATATCACACGCCACTTTTAAAAACAATGTGAGAAATTTTTTTTGAGTGGTTTTCGGCTATACCATCTTAGAGAGAGAAATATTATTTTCGTGTTCCATTAATATCATTTTGTGTATAGAAAATATCTATAATATTTTCTAAATATTATTAGAAATATTTTTTATAGAAATATACAAGATTATTATTATCCCAATTTTAATCTTTATATTTTATACTACTAAAATCTTTACTAGCATAAAGATTGCGGTAGACTCCGGCGTTGTTCGTGTGTCAAAGTTGGAGACCGGACGCTTGAACGGTTACGTTTGCACTTTCAACGCTCTTCCTACGACTTCTTCGTTTTTACCGCTTACGGAGAAAGGTACAAATTTCTTACTACTATAAGTTTTAGTACGTGATTCTGGGCAAGATAATCATGTTAGGATGTTAAAATTTTTATATTCCGCTGCCTA